CCTATTCTATCCTGGAAGATATAGTCTATGAGAAATAGGGCCTGCATATTTAAGAGAATGCACTTTATTTCTAGGGAATGGAAGGTGTTGAGTTAGAACTTTACAAAATTTCTGTGTGCATTGGTAGTGACAATTAGGATATCTTAGATCCTTGTAAAATGAAACTAGTAGCTGATAATAGAGCCTCTGGGCATCTTTGAATTGAACTATTGGGCTTTTTGTGTCCAAAAACATATTGGTCTCTGATAAAATTATGTTGTTTAAATGGCTTATTTGAGTCTTTATACTTAATAGAGGTGATAACCCATTTCTCCTTTTCTAGAAACCTAGATTGTCTCTCTTTTTTTTGGTACTGGGGATCAAACTCTGGTCCTTGCGCTTGCGAGGTAGGCGGCAGGACCACTGAGCTAAATCTCCAGCCCTAGATTGTCTCTTTATATGCAAACCTACCAACCTTCTCAAGATTAAAGAGTCTATTGTAGTGTGTGTGTTGGGGGCATAAACATTGGTGTCAATTGGACCTAGATGTAAATGTCTGCCCCAGCATTTCCAGTGGCACTCAGGCAACAAGGGGCAGCCACTTCACGTCACTCAACTCAGTTTTCTCCTCTATCAAACTGAGAGAAAAATGCCAATTTTACAAGGCTGTTCTGAGAATAATAAAGTACTGAATTTATGAAAAACTCCTAATGTCTGGCATGCTGTAAGACATCAATGAAGGGTAACTGTAGAAAATCAATTCCTGTTCATTGATGTTTAAAGAAAAATATCAAAAGAAGGAAAAAACATTATCTTCTGACATTGAAAAAGGTCTCATTGAAGATGTAGCTCAGTGATAAAGCACTTTCCCAGCATGCACAAGGCCCCAGGTTCAATCCTTAATACCCCCAAAATATTTTTTAAAACCTTCTCTGTGTGTGTAAACTTAAATAAAATACTCTCTAATAAGCCTATATGTCAAAAAATGAAAGAACTATTTATTTTGCAATTAACAAAGGGCAGAGTAGCTTTTCAGGATATTTTGCACAAAGATTTAGGAGTCTAGAATTTAGCCAATACATTATTGTTCTAGATATGTTTGTATTTAAAGTTCTTCATTTTTGACATGTTTAATTGCCACCAAAGCAGATATCTGTTTTAAAGATATTAGTAAAGACCTTTATGTATTACATATTATCCCAATATATGGATTAGGATAAGTTTTCCTATGAATATATCTCCTAATGAAATTTACCAATTTTTAACAGTCCTTGTACCTACAGACTTGGTACTAAGTTCATCATGACTATCAGGCAATTGGAAAGGTGAACACCCTTCCCTTCCCTCCCCATGAAGCCTCAATAGTCCCATAAACACTTTGAAAAATATAGTGAATATTTAAGTTTTTTAAAAAATTTATTAAAGTAAAAGACACATTGCCATCAATACCCCCAAAGTATTTCCTCTCACTTTGAGCACACCTATCCCATCATTCTTTCCATTTTCTGAAGCAGTTCTGGAAGTCCTTCTTCATGAGTACTTTTAATTGTATTGTTACAGTCACCTTGATGTCCTGAATCAATCCAAAATGTTTACCTTTCATGGTCTTTTTTTTTTTTTTTTTTTTTGGTACCAGGGATTGAACTTGGGTCCTAGTGTTTGTGCAGCAGGCGGCAAAAACCACTGAGCTAAATCTCTAGCCCTTCATGGTCATTTTGGCATTGAGGAAAAGCCAGAACTCACATGGTACCAGATCCCATGAATAAGATAGACAAGGACACACTGAAATGTTTTTACGAACCTGCCTTTCCATTGGATGGCACTCAGCAACAGCATTCACCAGATTTTTTAATCATGCCTTGTAAAGACACTCACAAAACATGCATGTGATCATAAAGCAACCAAACTAATTTTTAACAGCAAATATGCCAATCTAAAATATCCATGAGTATTATCATCCTCAAAGGAGTCACCTTGGGAAGCTGTTTAGGTGTTAAAAAATATAATTTCTCAACCCCTTTTGGAGACTCCTCTTTTATAATTAACTTCAAAAGTTAGCACACATTCTTTCTTGTACTCCCAAGCATGGAAAATATGTCTTTTAAGAATAAATTTGGGGGGCCAAGGATTTAGCTCAGTGGTTCTGCTGCCTGCCTGGCAAATGCAAAGTCCCAAGTTCGAGCCCCAGTAACAAAAAAAAAAAAAAAAAAAAGAATAAATTTAGGGGCCAGGGATTTAGCTCAGTGCCTCTGCTGCCTGCCTCACAAGCACAAGGTCCTAAAAAAAAAAAAAAAAGAATAAATTTAGGGGCCAGGGATTTAGCTCAGTGCCTCTGCTGCCTGCCTCACAAGCACAAGGTCCTAAGTTCGATCCCTGGTACCAAAACAAACAAACAAAAAACAAAACAAAGAATAAATTTGACCTCTTTTTTGCCACGACCCACATGGCATAGGGTCCGAAGCTGGGGAGAGCTGTGGGAGATGAAGAAACCAAGACTATTCTTGAAAGGTGGGACCAGGTGTGGAGTCACACCCTATCAGGAGCTAAGGACTGCCTGGAGTCCAGTGTATTCTTTATTTATAGTGTAAGACAAACAGGAAGAGAAGGCGGGGTAAATAGTGCTACATAGGCTGAACATAGCGTGATTGTCTTGTGATCGGGGCACGCTCAGAAAGGGAACAAGGAAAAAAGATACATAATGTAACTGTCTCCTGGGGCTGTGCCCTCCAGGGTCTACAATCTTAGTCAAACAGACTGTTGACTAGTCTTCGGAAGAGAAAGGAAGTAGGGAGGAAGTGAAGGACCATCTTCAGGCTCATCCTGCGGCACTTTTTTGTACTGAGGACTGAACCAAGGGGCCTTTGCACTGCACTACATACTGAGCCCTTACTATGTTTTTGAGACAGGATCTCACTAAGTCACTAAATTGCCCAGCCTGGGCTCAAATTTGTAATCCTCCTGTCTCAGCCTCACAGAGTCCTGGGATTATAAACATTCATCTCCATGCCTGGCTTCTTTTTAATAAGAATCAAAAATTAACTAGGAGCAATTCTAGTGAATTAAGTGATCAAGATAGTAATATCTTCTTCAGTAAAAGATATGACTACAAAATACTATGACTCATTGTCTACTGTGGAAGTAATGGCATAGCTTTGGAATAAAAGTATAAATGCATTCCAGAATTTAAAAGTCAAGACTCATCTGCGTACATAAATGTGTAAGGGCCCATAAATCTTCATAAGGTGACGCAAAATTCACTAAGTAATTTTTATTTCTTACTTTCTTGAGCAGAAGGAACAGCACTGCCTCTCTGCCCTTGGTTTCCAGGCCACAGAGCATTGCAAGAACAAGTCCTTTTATTTCCCTAGAGGAAAGGGATAGAAGGCAGGGCTGAAAAAGCATTTACAGAAGTAATGGCTGAAAATTTACTATATTTGGCAAAATAATAATAATAATAATAATGATGTCTAGAGATTGAAGAAGTCGAATGAATCCCAAACAATAAACCCAAAGAAAACCACACCAAGATACATCCTGAAACTTCTGAAAACTAAGAAATAGGAAAAAAGTAGCCTAAGAAAATTACTACATTACCTACAAAGGAAAAACAAGTTGAATGATAGCATAATTCTCACCGAAATCCATGTAGGCCAAAAAGAAACAACATCAACAATTATATGAAAATATGCTCAATATCATCAGTGAAATGCAAGCCAAAACCACAAAAAATATCATATCATTTCAGTTAGAATGGGTATTATCAAAAAGACAAAAAAACAAAAACAAAAACAAATCCTGGTGAGGATACCAATGAAAGTTATACACTATTGTAGGAATGTAAATTAGTATAACCATTATGAAAAATGGAGATTGCTAAAAAAAAACAAAAAACTAGAAATAGAACTACTATATTAGCCAGGAATCCCACTATTGGGTATATATCCAAAGGAAATGAAATGAGTATATAAAAAGATACCTACCCTCATATGTTTATTGCAGCTCTATTCACAATAGCCAAGATATGAAATCAACCTAGGTGAATGTTCCCAACACAAAAAAATAATAAATACTTGAGGTGGCAGATAGGTCAATTACCCTGATCATATATAATGTATACACATTGAAATATACTATACCCCTAAAATATATATACTTATTATATATCAATTAAAATGTTTTTTAAATTAAAGAAAGAGCATAAAAATTTCAAGTGCTGAAAGTATGTTTGACTCAGAATTCTACATCCAGTGAAAATGTCTGTTACAGTTTAGATCTAAAAGGCCCCCAATCTCACATGTCTGGAAGGTGATTGAGTCATAGGAGCACTATACTCATCAGCAGATTCATCCATTGATGAATTCAGTAGCTGAATGTGCTGTTAGGAGGTAAAGCCTGGTTGGAGGAAGATCACTGGGGGTGTGACATGGAGGGGTATATTCTTGTTCCTGTCCCACTTCCTGCTTCCTGGTCACTGTGACATTAACAGTTGTCATCTACCATGCCCTCTACCATGTTGTTTCTGCCTTGGAGTCAACCAACCATAGACTGAATCCTCTGACAATGGTGAGCCAAAATAAACCTCTCCCTCCTTAAATTGTGGTTGTCCAGTATTTTGTCTCAGCAACAAGAAAGTGACCAATACAGAAAACTGGCACCAGAAATAAGATTGTTGCTGTGACTGTACCTGTTCATGTGATTTAGAAACCTTTGGAATGGCTGGGGCTTGGTGGTAGAGCTCTTGCCTTGCACACACAAGGCCCTGGGGTCATTTCCCAGCACCACCAAACCAAACCAAAACAAAAAAAACTTTTGGAACTAGCTTGTGGGAGGAGTTTGGAAAGCTTTGGAGATGCAGGATAGAGAAGCTCTGGAATACTGTAAGCAGAATCTTATAGATGATTCTGGGTGGAACTCAAAATACCAGAATACTGATGAAATGCAGACAGTAATGGCCAGGCTTAGGAGGTGTCAGTTGGGAACAAGGGCTCCACTGGCAAATTAACTAGAGGCCAAATAGGTTATACTTTGGCAAAAAGTTTATTTAATCTTTTGCTCATGTCCTAAGACTGGCAGACTGAGATTTAGGGTGATGGACTAATTGATCTGGTGGAGGAGATTTCAAGGGAGCCCAACATTCAGCTGTGGCATGAATTCCTGGTTGCTTTTAGCCAGAGCTGCAGTGAGAATCAGGTGCAGATCATTTGCAGCAATATGAGTGAGCCTGGAGGACAAAAGATTAAACAAAGAAGCCAATTAATTTACACCAGGACATTAGCACTGATTTAACACTGCCATCTGATCCACAGATTCCTTCCAAATTTTGCTTATTGCTTCAGTTATGTCCTTTATAGGCCCAACATTCAATGCAGATTCTAATTTTAGACAAACAGAAAATCTTTAAGGCCCCAATTTCAATCCCTAGCTCTGTTCCTCCCCTCCAAAATGGAAATTGTTATACTTTTAAGGCACAAGGATGGTCTTGTGTTGGTTAAAAAGTCCTTTTCTGGAAAAGATGGTGTTTGAAATTTTCTTTAAAATATTCATGGGCAGTGAGAAGAGTTGAAATAAGATTACCAAAATATTTATAATTTTGTTGAAGCTGAGTGCTGAGTACAGGGCAGTTTATAATATTTCCTCTGTTTTTATGTGTGTTGAAATTTTCCATAATTAGAGTTTTTAACTAAAAAAAAATCATTGGAGAAATAGAAGAATTTTAAGGATTGGAGTGATATCTGCATATTTACAATTTAAAACATTATTCTGCAGTGGGGAAAATAGCTTAATGTAGGGTGAGAATGAAGACAGAGACTTGGGCAGGGCGACGACTGACATAACCCAGGAAGGGATGATACTGTGTGAACTCAGGTAGTGGCAATGGAATGGAGCATAGTGGGCAGACTGAAGAAATGGTGACTATCCAGATGTGAGAGATGAGAGGGGATCCAGAACACACTCGGGTGTGCCATTTACCTAGTCAGGAAGCTGGGAAGGGAACTGGCCCTCAGTGGAGGAAAAGAGAAGATGGTTTAAAGTGGCCTTGGTGCAAGATAGTGCATTTGTGTTATCTGGCCAGAACTGAGAAGATGGATGACAGAAAGATGCGTAAATAATCATTACGAATTAAACAGCCAAGGAGCGAGCAAGGTGGACAGAGAAAAACATGTCGCCGAAACCTGAACTCTGAATCAATGTGTGGCATTAGTAGGAAGATGAAAAAGACTCCCTAAACATGCATTAAATGACGTGGGCAGGGAACATACATTTTTTTCATGTCCCCTGCATGGAAAGACATTTTTCAGTTGAAATTGCAAGGTTGAACTGGAGATCCTCAAAGACAGGGAATTTGTAAGGGGCAGAGAGCAAGCCTGGTATGCCGACTGCAAGGCTAAGGGGGTGCTGAACTGAGGAATAGTGCTTTCAGTTTTCTTGCTAGTAGCCTTTGAGTGGAGAACTCACCAAAGTCTGCTCTTGAGGCGTTTTCGCTCACTAGCCACACCAGGACGGAGGAGATCTAATTGGCACTTCTAGGAAGTTTGGCGTTATCATTCCAATAGGCATAGTTTGTTCTCCCTTGTCCGTGCAGTCCCATTGATTCTGTCCCCCACCCGGAAGCTCGTGAGCAAGATTTCCTCCCTTCCTTCCTGGTCCGCTGGGGTTCCTCACCTCCTGTGAAGCCCCTCCCAGAGCCTGGCGGGAACGCACTCCGGCCCTCGGCGTGGAGCCCCGCCCACGGGCCAGTCCCTGCTCAGAACTTCCCCACTCTCGTCGAGTCCCGCCCCCTACACGGAGCCACGCCGCCTGCACCGACCCTAACAGGGTCTCTGGCGCCGGGTCCCGCCCATTCCCCGCCTCCGGCACGGAGCCCCTCCCCGAGACGGCCTGGGCCCGGTCGCCGCCGCTACCAGGCCGACTGCCTGGGCCACAGCGCAGCTATGGCTGGTGGTCGCGGGGCTGGCGGCCGCGGCCGGGACGAGCTGCAGGAAAGCTACCCGCAGCGGCAGGACCACGAGCTGCAGGCCCTGGAGGCCATCTACGGCTCCGACTTCCAGGACCTGCGGTCGGATGCTCGCGGACGGGTAGGAACGTGGCAGGGCTGGTCCCGGCCCAGCTTCCCCCCCGCCCTGGTCCCAAGACCAGGCGCTTCCCAGGCGCTACCCAGGCGCTACCCAGGCGCTTCCCCCTTGGGCCAACCCCTTAGGACCCTGCAGTCTTTGCCTCTCCCCGTTGGCACCCACGCTAATTTTTCATGCTTGCACCGCAGATCCCTCCACCTGGGCCAAATTCTCCTACAGCCTTTTCTCCAAGTCGACTCCTCTTACTTGAGCTACTCCTTCCTCGTGTGGACACCCCGACATCCTCGCCTCCTTTCAGCCTTGTCCTTACCCTCCCTCCTGCAAAGCACTTTACGGAAGCTCATTCACAGCTACCCATTGCTACTTTTTTTTTTTCAATTTTTGCAATACCAGGGATCGAACTCAGGACCTTGCGCTCGCGAGGCAGGCGCAGCGCCACTGAGCTAAATCCCTGGATACCCATTGCTACTTCGTTCTGCTCTTAGGTGGCTCGCTCAGGCCTCTCTCCTGCTCTCAGTCGGAATTCCCAGGTCTCACTCATGTATTCAGATACTTCTTGTAATCCCACCTTGCTCCCAGGCATCCTCACTGTGCTTCCGGTGTGGAGGAACTCTGTCTTAAGGCGTTTAGCTGACAATTACATACAAAAATGTATTCATTTTAGCAACAGTAGGAGTTTCTGAGTCTAGACCTTTTAAAGTGGCGTTTGGTTTAAAATATTTTCTTTTTTGCCTGGAAATTAAGACACACTATTAAGCTGCTGATACTGACCTTTTTCCTTCCATCTTTTAAGAGCTGATCAGCCAAACTAATGTGTCTGAATGTTGACTATTAAAAATTTTGACTACCTTCCATCATCTGCCTTGAATTCTGGTACTTCACAGCATTTGCCAGTCTGCCCATCCAGGATTGATTTAAGGAATAGGATCTCCTGGAACTGTCAGGCAAAACCACTGTCTTCCTACCCACCCCTTCCTATTGTTGTAGGAATACAGCTCAGACAAAACAAAAACTCTGCCCTCAGGAAGCTTACTTTTATAGTGCTTAATTTCAAGATTTAGTTCTAACTTTCCATACCCCCTTATACATGCTTTTAGTAAAATAATAAGATAACTTTCCCATCACATGGCCACTTCTTTGTTCCCAAACATTGTGTACCCCTGAATAAGGCCCCTTAAGCAGCCAAAGTAGATGTCACAAAGGGTGCACGGAAAATATAAACCCCCTAAGACTTCATTCAGAACCAGTTAATTTATGCATGTTTAGTTATTTGCTCCTAATACCGCAGAAAAACAGAAGGTAAAAAGCAGCTGCTTTTAGGTAAAGACATTAATAATCTCATGAATTTAGTGCCAACAAGCCCAAGACCACATGAAACAAACACTATAAAAGGTAGGCAGAAGTATTGATTGGCTAGCTGTGTCCCGGGAGCACCAGAAGTGAGGCCTCCACGCTTTCATAGGCCTCACGGGCACACAGTTGATGGTCATGGAGGTGAATCAGAGTTTACTCACTGAACAAGTACTTATTAGCACTGCTACTTGGCAGTCTTCAGGGAAAGGTTATGCAGGCCCACGGTCCTTTATCCAACACCTTGAGGCCTGATGGCTTTCAGAATCAGAAGTTTCCCTGCTTCCATTCATGAGTGCCTACTCCATACAGTACCCAACACCTCTCTGCGTCTGGGGCAGCATCCAAAATCCAACACAACAAAGAAACACATGAATATTTAAATTTCATCCTTAACTGGATAAAGACTATTAATAACTTCATGTCAGTTCAGGCCAAATTTGCTGCCAACAAATTCAGATCATTTTTGTCTTGAACTTTTGTGGGAGGGATGCGTTGTAATGCAAATTTCAGTTTAGTCGCATGTGTGTATCATTATAAATAAGTAAACATTTGGGGGTGCATGTTAAAAATTATTTTGCTCTGAGCTACATACCTAGCCCTTAGTTTCTTTTTTGTTTTTTTTTGTACTGGGGATCGTTTAGTATCATTTTGAGACAGAGTCTCACTAAGTTGCCCAGGCTACCCTTGAACTTGTGATCCTCCTGCCTCTCACCCTCCAAGTGACTGGGATTACAGGTATATGACACCTGTCTGGCCCCTCTAGACATTTAACAGACAAAGATACATGCCTAAAGCAATTAATTTTGTTGGGCCTGACTATTAGAAGATACCCAAGAGAGGCTGTGTTACTATAATCCAAATACCTGAGATAAACAACTTAAAAAGAGGAAAGATTTCTTTTGGCTCATGGTCTACTGTAGGTGGTTTCGGACCATAGCCAGGACTGTGTCAAGGCAGCATATCCTAGCAAGAGCAGGTGGTAGAAGCAGCCTGTTTACCTTATGGCCACGGGAAGAGAAAGAAACAGGAAGATCCATTGTCCTTCCATGACCTGAGACCTCCCACTAGACCCAATTTTGTTGTGTTTCTGTTTTTTAGGACAAGGTCTTGCTATATAGTTCAGGCTGTCCTAAAACTCACTGTGTAGCCCAGGTTGACCTTGAACTCACTGCGATCCTCCTGCCTCAGCCTCCCAAGTACTGGGATTACAGGCTTGTGCTACCACACCCAGCTTTAGGCCTGATTTTTTTTTTCTGGTACCAGGAATTGAACTTGGGACCTTGTGCTTGTGCAGCAGGCCCCAAAACCACTGAGCTAAATCCCCGGCCCTAGGCCTGATTTTTAAAGGCTCCACCATATCACAATAGTGCCAAGCTGAGGAATAAACCTTTAACAGATGAGCCTTTGGTGGGCACTGAAAATTCCAACTATAGCAGAAACACAGTTGGACTGAGCAGAGGGATTTCTGAAGCTTTGGCCAGGGGCTTCTCCAGGAATTGTGCGTGCACTGAACAGAGGGTATTCAAGGTTAGTTTCTAATCCTTGGTTATTTTTAAATCCCTAGCTGTTTTGAGAAGAGCTGATACTCTGTATTGGTTTTTGCTTGAGTTCCACATGAGCATTGCCTCTCCTGTGCTTTAGGATGAATTGTATCTCTTCTTCTTTTGCTTTTTGTATGCTTGAGGATTTGCTTGGCTGTCTAGTAATGGTTCAGCAGAGTATCCAACTTCATGATCCCATTAAGAAGCAAAACAATGTTTTTCAGTCCTGGGGCTTGAACCCAGGGCGAACCCCATGCTATGCAAGTACTCCAGCATGCTGAACTACATCTTCATCCCTAAGAAGCAAATTTAATTCATTTTTTATGGTGACAATCTGTGGTCGTCTCACCACGACTCTGCATTATGCAGTTTCAATGTCACATTTTCAGTCTTAAGAACAAATTTTTTTTCTCTTGTGGATTTTGTGACATATTTTACAAATGATACACCCTAAATTATTTTCTTGTGTGTTCTCAAAAAATTTTGGTTATCCATTATTTTGTGTTTATTTGCCTGCAGATATTAAAGTAATGCATTATTTCTTTGTGCACGCCCGGTCAAAGATTTTATCAATTTTGAAGTTGGGTGTGGTGACACACTCTTGTAATCCCAGCATTTGGGGACGCTGAGGCAGAAGGCTTGCAAGTTCAAGTGCAGCAGTTACTGACTTAGTGAGACCCTGTCTGAAGAAGGGCTGGGGATGTAGTTCAGTACAAGGGCCCTGGGTTCAATCCCCACTCTGAAAAAGAATTAGTTATTGCTAAAATCTTTTTTGCAGTACTGGGGGTTGAACCCAAGGCCTTTGCACTGAGCAACATCTCTAGCCTTTTCGTGTTTGAGACGGGGTCTTGCTCAGTTGCCTAGGCTGAACTCCTGCCTCAGCCTCCCAGAGTGTTGGATTATAGGTATGCACCCAACATCCCTGGCTATTAGTATTGAATTCCAATGACTAGTCCAGCCCACTCCCGGTACATCTTGGTTATTAAATTGTTCAAATCAAATCCTGTTGAGCTCCACAGGTCCTTGAATGCTCTATATGTGCTGACTCTTGGTATCCTAAACACATCTTACAAAAAGCTTCTTGACTTGCTGGGGAGCCTTTCAGTTTGCTTGAAAAAAGCCTAGCAAATATTCTGCTCTTATCTCTGAAAGCACTATTCTCTGAGTGGCTTTTGTTTTTGATTTCTCCTTTCAGTGAGCCCATAATGGGTAGGATTAAGCTTAGCTATTAAAAAAAAAAAATAACAGCACAGTTAATGTTTTTGCATATAAAAGTCTGGAATTGAGGACCTCATCTGTCTTGGTGCTCCATCCTTCATGTGGCACTCATGGACTAAAAAAGCTGACTTGACTTTAGCCTGAAAAGAGAAAGAAATGAAGATGCATCCCTTTCTCTTGTCACTTCCTCTAAATTGCATATGCTAGTTCTTCTTTCATTTGATTGTCTAGAAATTAATCCATTGACCACACTTAGCAGCAAAAGAGCCTAAGAAATGTATTCAGCTAACAGGTCCAGGGTTCTCTTGCTACAAATAAAGGAGGAGTAGATCTTAAAGGTGGTTGATAGTCATTGCTAAGATATACCCCCAAAGTCTGTGACCTATAGGGAGAAATACCACTCTGGTCATTAAAATAAGTCAGCCAAAATAAAGCCCTTAAAAATTGCCAGTCAGTCTGCTGGCTTCTGTGTCTTGCTCCTCTCTTTGGGTGGGCCTTATTTGGTACTCAAATCCTGACAGATTATTCAGCATTTATCTAATTGTGACATTCTTTTGTAGCCATGGTCTGCTCTTTC